GTATTTCATTGTAGTCGCACTCCGCAGACCCATGCTTCGTTACTCGGTCTAGCAATCCGACTGTAGAATATCCCCTGATTGGTCTCAACGTCGAACATTTGGATGTCTTGATCTCGACGTCGAACCTCCGAATGTCTCTTAGAAACCTGGAACCCCCCATCTATTCCGTTCGTCTGACCCATCTGCCACAGCGTCAATATGGTGTCGAGGAAAAGATTTAATCTCAAGATTTATTTCGTCAAGCCACGCCATCGCACGATCCACCCCTACCTAACCTTTCTCCACTATCAACATAGAATAAATTGTGATAAGCAAATATTGGGGTCCGGTTGGGTCGTCTTGGTCCACACACTGCTCGCCCTGTGCAAGTGGGTCACGCCGGTCATGGCACGTGGGGATGAGCCCCCTAAGAATAATTGGGCGAAGCTTCTTGCAGTTGTGGGGGGATCAGGGGGACTCGATCTTTGGTCTCCGCCAGACCCAAAAGTGGGGCGCTGGAGTGCTAATCGGGGTTCCCTGGTTACCAAAAAAAAAAATTGTGATAAGCAAGCACGCGTCTCAAATTCTCTCATTCCCTTCTTTGAAGTTTCGTTTCAAAAAAAAATAAAAATAAAATACTACTGGTTTAAGAGGTTGAGAAGGGCTCGAACTACGCGAGAGCTTCCAAGCCCCCCCCCGGCAGTTCCAAAACAGTAAACTCATCGGGTTAAATTTGTACCCTTCACAGTAGGGATGGCAAAATGGACCCAAAACCAATTGTCCACTCATACCCACCCGCTAAATGAACCATCCAAACCCACCCATTTAGTTAAATGGGTCATAAATGAGTGGGTATAGTTTCTATTAAAGATAAATGGATCATTAGTGGGCGGGTTATTACCCACCCATTTACTCGTTTAGATGGATATTATTTTAAAAATACCCTCAACGTTTCAACAATTACAAAACTTATTTTTAAAAGTTAAAAATTATAGAAAACACTTAAAATGACTAAAACCCCTTAAAATTTTGAGATTTGCAAAAAACACCCTCAAAGTTTAAAATATTATAAAAACGCCCTCAAGTGTTAAAAATTATAAAAAAACTATCAAATTTTTTAACCTCAACACATGAAATTCAAAAATTATCAACAGCCCCCTGAAATTTTATAATTTGCAAAAAATACCCTTAAAAGTTGTAGAAAATGAGAAAAACACCTGAAATTTTATAATTTGCAAAAAATACCCTTAAAAGTTGTAGAAAATGAGAAAAACACCCTCAAGACTTTAAAATTACCAAACAATCTTAGAGTTTTCTAAACTTGCAAATGACATATGAAATCTAAAAAATTTCAATAGTGCCCTATAAATTTAAAATTTGTAATTAACACCCTCAAAGTTTTAAATTTTTAGAAAAACACCCTCCATGATTTAGAATTATAAAATCATCCTGAAATTTCAAAACCTACAAATGACACATGAAATCAACAAATTACTAGCAGCCCCCTATAAATTTATAATTTATAAAAAGCACCCTCAAAGTTTAAAAATTACAAAAAGCACCCTCAAGAGTTCAAAACTACAAAACAATCTTTGAATTTTCTAAACTTGCAAATGCCACATGAAATCAAAAAAAATTCGGTGGTCCCCTATAAATATCAAATTTACAAGTAACACCCTCAAACTTTTAAAAATTGCAAAAAACACCCTCAATGATATATAAATATAAAAAGTAGGCGCTCATAATTCTTCGTCGGCAGGAGATATATGCGTGTGCAGCCAAGTGTAATTTGTAAAACTTGCGTCTATTGCGCGAGAAACAGGAGAGAAAGAGAGCGTGTATTGTTATGCGGTGTGATAAAATTTTTTTAAGGAGAATTACTTGGGAACACTCTGTAATTAAGAACAAACATGGAAAAAATAATAGACTTTAACCAACAACAAATATGAAGAAATGAACAATTACGCTCATAGCTCATGGATTTTGAACAAATGAAAGAAAAACACCATCTCTCTGAAAGCAGTTCACGCAAGGCTAAGGAGGTGCAGGATTTTTAAGATCCTCGGAGTAGGACGTGATATTTTTACCACATTTTGTTGACAAATTTAGACGGCAAAAAGATTTAGTTAGGATTTTTTTATGGAATGTGTGGTGTGTGGGTTTTTAGAGCCAAATTTAGTTAGCAAAAAGATTTAGTTAGGATTTTTTTATGGAATGTGTGGTGTGTGGGTTTTTAGAGCCAAATTTAGTTAGAATGTTTTTATCAAATAGAGCTGTTAGGTAGTGTTGTTTTGTAAACCGTGCAAGCTGGGGTTTTCTGAAGATATTTTGTCATTTCTTTGCTCTGACCTAATTTGACCCTAAGATGAAGAAGAACTGAATTAAATGTTGAGGGTACTCCGATATTCTAAAAATTTTGACACATGACCAAAGTAAGGATTTTTTTTAATAACCGAGTAGACAGTAGACTAGACTTGTTATGAGTCCATCTCTTCTTTTGCTTAGCTCCGTCATCATTTGCTTCTTTTGCTCATAATTAAGTCCTAATTTTTCCAAGTAGTCGATTCAATTGAGAAAGAAATGTTTACAGAAAACCCCCTGAAAGTTTGTAGAAAACCCCTTGAAAGTTTGTAGAAAACCCCCTGAAAGTTTGCAAAACCCCCTAAAAGTTTGTAGAAAACCCCCTAAAAGTTTACATAAAACCCCTAAAAGTTTGTAGAAAACCCCCTGAAAGTTTACAGAAAACCCTAAAAGTTTACAGAAAACCCCCTAAAAGTTTGCAGAAAACTCTTGAAAGTTTATAGAAAATCCCCTGAAAGTTTGCAGAAAAACCCCTGAAAGTTTGCAAAAAACCCCCTGAAAGTTTACATAAAACCCCTGAAAGTTTATAGAAAACCCCCTAAAAGTTTATAGAAAAACCCCTGAAAGTTTATAGAAAACCCCCTAAAAGTTTATAGAAAAACCCCTGAAAGTTTACAAAAATCCCCTGAAAGTTTGCAGAAAACCCCCTAAAAGTTTACAAAAAACCCCCTGAAAGTTTACAGAAACTCCCCGAAAGTTTGTAGAAAACCCCCTAAAAGTTTGCAAAAAACCCTCTGAAAGTTTCCAAAAAAATCCCTAAAAGTTTGCAAAAAAAACCCCTAAAAGTTTGCAAACTCCCTTGAAAGTTTGCAGAAAACCCCCTGAAAGTTTGTAGAAAACCCCCTAAAAGTTTGCAGAAAATCCCCCTGAAAGTTTGCCAAAAACCCCTGAAAGTTTGTAAGTAGATCCCTGAAACTTACATATATATAGAAGCATCATAATCATAACTAAATGGGTTATTTGGTCACCCATGAACCACCCATTTAGTAAATGGATGGTTGAGAAGTGACCTATTTAGCAAATGCTAAATGGATCATAAATGGTCAAGTGGTCATAAATGTGCCCACTCATTTATGACTCAACCAAGACCCAATCAAAACCACCCATTTGACATCCCTACCTTCACTGTCCTCTTATCAGTCATCTCACCATCAAGCTCAAGGATTCCCGTCTAGACTCGAACCCTCGACAACGATTTCCTCAAACTATAGGACCATCGCGATTTATTCACCTCAACTTTCTCAAAGAGTTATGCCCATCTTCATTATTTACAATTGTCTTGTGCACTTCCCTTCAGCCCATCATTAGCTGCAGTATTATATATCCATAATTTTAGGTATCATAATGTAGAAAATGGCGATGAATTGTTCGAATTGTTGAAAACTGTGAAAAATCAGCGGCCTCAGGGAGTTTCGGTTCGGCCGACTGATCGAACATGATCAGTCAACCGACAACAGGCACCTACTGGGTCGGGAAAAAGGTGCTCTGACCGGTTGACTGATGGACCCTCATCAGTCGATCGATGCGCATTGATCAGTCAACTGATGAGGGATCATCAGTCGACCGATATCGGGTTCCTGGGCTGATTCAGTTTCCCAGCCTGTTTTGGTTTGGGTTTTGATATAAAAGGAAACATGTTTTTGTGAAGCACGTGGGGTGGGGGCCACAATGTTGATATCACAAACCGCGCGAGGGCGTGAAGAGATCACGGATAGCGCGTGGGGGCCACCACATTTACAATTCGTGAAGAGATCACGTTCACGTGAACGACAGCGAACCCAATAGCGTCTCGTGATAGACTGAGGGACATGGCCCACCCGATAACAGCGTGCAGCTATATATAGCTGGTAAACGCGTGACCTAGGGTGGTGTGTAAGAGCAGAGGGTGAAGAAAAAAAATTGCGGCGGAAAGTGCAAGGAGGGTCGGCGTGCAGGCGGAAGAAAAGAAAAATTGCAGAAGGGTTTTTGAGCCGCCGACTTTATTTCGTGCTGTTTTTTCCATTCTGATTTTGAGAGAGTTTGAGCATCCTCAAGAGGAAGATATTTTTGTGAGATTTGAGATATTGTTTGAGGGTTTAATTTGTGTGATTTTAAACCCATTTGTATTCTTTTTCTCTCTAATAGTAGATCTCCCCCCTCCTTACCCCGTGGACGTAGGCAACTTGCCGAACCACGTTAAAATTGATTGTTCGTGCCGTGATTTGTAATAGAGAGTTTAGCTTCCCTCGATAGGTCAGTGCTAGAACTAATGAGAGGAAGAACTGATATCCCACTTTGTTGAGATATTTTGCTTTCGGTTCTTGTTTCCTTTGTGAAACAGGAATTTAGTTGAGCTCTACTCTCTTGTCGAGCATCAGTTGAGATCTACTCTCTTGTCGAGCACCAGATGTGCTGCTGAAATTTCCGCTACCCACAACAGTTTTCTCATTCATACCAATGTATTTCTTTGCATTGGTTGGTGACGAATTTGAAACAACTCCAGCCTCCTTTGCATGGTGAATCGGTGATCCTGCGGCTCCTCTCCCAATTCTCCTTCCTCATTCTTGTAATTTTGATTGTAGGATACACGGATTGCTGCTACTCGTTAGTCTACAAAAACCTTTTTTTTTTTAAAGTGATGAGGTGCATCCTCTTCATTTCTTGCCCTTTCACATCTTCGAATCCGACTCACATTCTTTTCCGTTTTAGATCTTGAAATCATATACAATACTATTTGTGTTTTTGAGAAGGGTTCAGACGGTATCCACTAAGGGGCTGTTTGGTTGTTGTTGGTAAAGTTGTGTATTTATGACGCAACTTGGAAAGTTGTTGTCCACCTCATCAATTTTACTTTTATACTTTTTTTTGTTTGTTTTTGATTCCATTGGAATATAAATTGCTTGTTTGGTTTGCAAATGTAACTTTAATTGTTTGTTTGGAAAGTGTAAAAAGTGGTCCCTACTCAAATGATCATATTGGTTGGAATTATTTTTTATTATTTTTTCCTGACTTCAATATCAGCTTTCTCCTAAAATCATGTCTTTTTTATGAAATCACTTTACAAGCCACATCAGCATATGAAATCACTTTACACTATTTTCACAACTACAAACAAACAATTGAAAGTGATGAAAGCTGACATTGGGACCCACTTTTTTACATTTTCCATCCTTTTACATGGTAAAAACATACAACCAAACAGCCCCTAAAAAAATAGTGAGGAGATTATTATTTTTAATAGCAAAGCGTTAAGAAAACTTGAAATGAATCCAGTCATCCACTAAAAAATTGACCGTAACAATTTAAAACTACTGCTTTTCCGGTGAAGATCCAAGAGGATCCTAATCTTTTAATTACATCCTCCATATATCATTTCCGTGTCAAAATATGGATTATATAAGAAGACTAATTCTCATACTGCAACTTTGTCATGTGGCAAATTTTCTTTGGAGTTTTTATACTCAAACTAACATTACTTAAACTTATTACTGGGATCTAAACGGTTAGGATGTTTCAATATGACTCTAGACCTTCCAGCTGAGTTATTAAAAACAAAACAATAACCCTGTCCTGCGGGCTATGGCCTCGTTAAGGATGAGTAATAAAACAAAGTGCTAGAATCATGTGTAAAAGGCCGGCCTGCTTCGTACTGAGCCCATCTTTGTAATTCGTTCACATAAATTTTCAATTTTGTTTTCTTTTTTTCAAGTTAAATTTTTGCAAATTCCTTTCACTGTAAACTTACAATTTCCATTTCCCCCCCCTTCGTTCTCGGCAACCTCCAATCCGTCGACTCCTTTTTGAGGTACAAATCCACCCTTCTCTCTCTAAACCCTAACCCTAACCCTAACCCTAGGTGTGATTTTTGCAGCGAGGGAGGATTTGGCGATGGATAGACAAGCGCAGAGAAAGGCGCTGTTCCGATCGAAGCTGAGAGAGTCTTCCCAAAATCGAGACAAGCGCATCGATTCTCCTCTTGTGAGGTCTTTTTTTTTAAACTGCGCCTACTTTGATTCATTATTATGATTATATTTATCAATTATAATTAAAGAGGAGTTTTTTTTTTTTTTGAAGTGAATGGTATGATTTTGGTTTAATAAATTCTGATGGTTAACTAAATGGAGGAGATGATCCGCATAATAGAACTGAATGGAATAATAAGATTCATGTATTTGACCCGAAAAATTAGGGACACGGCTTTGTTGTTGTTGATATTGTTTGGGTTCAATATTTTTACATTGGTTCTTCTTGTTATGTGCCTAAAGTTCTTTACATATTACTTACAGGTTTATGTGCGTGCGTGTAGTGATACTGTTTGAGAAAGAATGTTCGGACTTATGCTTTCTAAACTTGTAGGTACAACGAAAACGACCAGCCTGTTTGTAGAGTATGCAATGTCCTCTTGAAATCTGAGTCATTGTGGCCTGCACACCAAGCTTCCCGGAAGCATCATGAGGTAATGTCATCTAGCGCTAACTGAGTTTAAGTTTCTCGATAAGTGTGCTTCTGGTTAAGTGTCTGTAGGAGGTTTCAATGTCAGTGGGATTTTAGGTCTATTAGTGGTATTTTCAAACTTTGATATGAAGATGGTCTGCTTCGTGTTGCTGTTTCTGCTGCTTCCGCCGTGATCATTTTAACCGATGATAACAGTTTCTGCTTGCTTAGATTCTGGCCAGGTGCGTGAAGGGCATCATGGCGGTAACATTTGTTCTGAATATAGTATTACATGCCTTCGCGACTTGTTTTGCGTTCTTGATGTTCCATGATCCTCAACAAGGCTCCAATAGGATTTCTTAATGGTGATAATATAGTAAATACTGTTTTTTAAAGGCTTTTTATATATTTCAGTACTATCTCATTGAGTTTGTCTGGATAGAATGGTATAGAATCTAACAGGACAACAAAACTAGCAAATCTTGCTTAGGAAATGAGAATCACAATAAACATATCTTCCACAAGAAAAAAAACGTATGGAAAGATCCAAATCTAGCCCTATCACTACCTGTGCATCGTACACATGTCCGGTTATCTCTAGCATCCGAAATGGTGGTTTGTCTAGATACCTTTCTGTAGTGTGTGCTGGATACAACCTCTGTCCCCTTCTCCCTTCCCTCTCTACAACCATACCCCAGGTACCTTCTGCATTGTACTGACTGTTGCATTTGTCTCTGTCATGTTCGGTATTGAAAATGGGATGCTATCTATTTACGACTTTGTAAAAGTATGTGGCATGAGAAACCAGTGACACTGCTTTTCCAGTATTTTACATCAAAGCCTAGGTAAAATCTAGCAACTGTTATGCCAACAAAGAATAGGGAATAGTAGGTTTTATGCTTTGGTTGATGGGAAAGAGCATGCCATTACCAATAAATTAGTTATCCCGAAGTTTTTGTTCCTAAATTTATCAAAAAATTCTACGTTGATCTTAGTTGAGTTTTTGCATTCTTTTTTATTCCTAACTTTATCCTGTATTATCCATCTGTCTGAAACGAAGCTATGAAATGGTGGTACTAGTCTTCCCATCTTGGATATACATTGACTCTCCTTCCTTTTATCAATGTTCGTAGTTTTATTATGCATGAATTTAGACTTTTATTAGCATATACATGTTTTGTGGTTATGTTGTTAAGGTATTTACATATTCTAATCACATTTATGTTAATACAGGCTATTGAAAATGTCAAAGCTGCTGCCGTAGGAATAACTCAATCAAATAAAGTCAATGCAGAAAAACCAGCAGACTTGCCCAAAGCCCGGCCATCACCCACGCTGCCTTCAAACTTCTTTGATAATCGGGAGACAAAAAGGCAAAAGGATGGTAAATTACCTTTACTTTGCTCTTTCTGTCATCTACATTTTATTATTATCATGTATGAATAGTTAAAAAGATGTAGTACCTGTTCATGATTTCTCTTTTTTCTTCCATCATGTTAGTTTAGGTTCATTTGAGCTCAATGAAAGATTGAACTGATCTTATCTAAAATCTATTTATACTGTTGAATTCTTATATTGGAATAATAATACGGGATGCCAAAATTTGGTCGAATGGTCAAGCTTGCAAATGCAGTTTGACAAGCTAACTTGTAATTTTATAGTACATATAGTTTAAGGTTATTGCTCCACTGCCTTCACCAAAGAATACATCTTTTGGAAGCAGTGGTGGAAAGGGGAGGATGAAAACTCTTTAACTTGTTGCAACCTCCATATGGTATTCCTCTGAAGTTCACAACCTCCTCATGGTTTCAGCAAATATTCCAGAATTTGAACTGCCATGAGGTACTAATCCATCCTTAAATGGACAGTCTGCAACTTGAAATTTTACCTTCTTGCTTAGAAAAGAAGCATGGGGGTGACAGATAAAATTGTTGCAAGTGGAACAACTGTTGATTTAAGTGTCACCTAACGATCAAAGTCCTGATACTGTTGCGTGCAGGAAGTTTAATAAATTGCAGAATACTTGCAGAACAAATATCTTACTAGGGATATACGTTTTTTGCACTGATTTTGCATTAGGTAATGATACTACAGAAAAGATTTTTAAAGAGAACTGTGCAATGAAGCTTCAGATTCTAAACTGCCTAGAATTTAAAGGACTACATGATATATACGACGAGTACCTGTAAGCTTTATCCTGAAGAAGTCTTTTCAGAATCAGTTATTCTCAGTTCATGGTAAAAAGTATACCTTTTAGAGTTAAAGCATAATCAGATATTCTAAATACTTCTCACTTCAAGATATTGTAGATGACTATTACCTATGAAGTTCAGGGAAATTTTTCATAAGACGATGATAGATAGGTAACATTTACTCGTCATGGAACTGCTCGAAGGTTAGTAATTGTTGGAGTAGTAATGCTGTTGTGGATGCCAATACTCTGAAAATAGGATAAGAATAAGAGGTACCAAGTTAGGTTTGATGTCAGTTAAGGATGGCCATGTTGCTTATATACTTTTTGTGTGCTTTGGAGGTTAGAACATCTGGACAGAACATCTGGGATTTATTTATATAAATTTAATATTTTGCATTTTCTCATATTAATTTATGCTTTTGATTTAAAAGAAATGAAAGGAAGCTCTCATCTTATAGTGTCTGATATGTGTTAAAGGAGTGCTTGAAAGTCTCACACTAGCATTGGAGAAGTATTTAGAATTGCACAGTATTATTAGAATTCAGATAACTTGTGAATTGTCAGGATTTTCAAGGAGCGGTGGGCTCATTTGATTTTGTTACCTAAACATGAGCATAAACATGTCACAGATGTCTGGCATACTAAGCACATGGATAAATAATTTCAAACTCTTAACTAACTACTATAAGACATGATGAAATTATATGTAATTTGAAATTTAAGGTTTGACTAAACATTCACTGGTTTTGTCATCATTCTGTGAATTATGAATTTTTCATCAAAAGTTAGGCACTGTAGTGAGCCAGGTGACAAAGAAAAATCATTAGTAATATCATCATCCTTTGAAAGTACAAATTTTGTTGTCAGGAAATCAGTCATTTAGTGTTGTTTTTATACTGGAATGCATTTTGATATTCAAGCCTAGGCTATGGAATTTGTCATAATGTCGGTTGAAATTTTATTAAAGCTCCGGTGCAAGTGCAACATGTATCATCCCAACCACTACTTAGCAAACATCTGCGCAATGCCTTAGCTTTAACTGCTGTTTGGTTCATCTGATCTTCCTCATAAAAGCAAATTGTTTCTTCTGTTGCAGAGCATCATTTGAAGGTTTCAGAATCTGGGGTGAAAACTAGTAGCCCAGCCAACGATAATCTGGTTGGTATGGTTAGAAATGAAAATAAACCATCAAACTTACTTGGTAAAAGATCAAAGATGATGGATTATGCAGATGGACCTTTTCAGGAAAGCTCTTTTATTAACAGTGAAAGTGTTAAAAGTCAGCCTTCCAACAAAATCACTGGAGCACCAAAAAAATTAGAAGTCAAACAAGTAAAGGAAGCACTTCCTGATGGCTTTTTTGATGACAAAGAAAGGGATGAAAGTATAAAGTTAAATGACATCCCTGAACCATCCGGACAGTCGCATGGTTTGGAGTCCACGAAAGGTGAAAGACCACTGCCTGAAGGTTTTTTCGACGACAAAGAGAGAGACCAACGAGCTCGTGGCATTGAACCTGTTAAGGTTGACGTTAAGTAAGTTCCTTTTATTTTAAGGATTCTCTCTAACATGATAATTCCATGTTTAATCTATTATAATTTTGCTGAATCAAATTTTTGTCATTCAATATGACCTATTTCCTAGATTTTTAATAGTTACGTAAAATTGAAATATCCTATTTAGCAATTGAGTATTATCAAAATAGAAACTATAAAATGTGAATACATAGAGCATTATCAACAAGAAACTCTAAAATCTTAAGTATGTACAGATTCTCTAAGCATGTTTTCTAGGTTTGCCTCTGTCTATGGTTATTTGATTTCGTTCTGTTCAAAGGAACTGTTGCAGTTTACTATTTTAAAATTTTGTTTTGTAATTATTATACCTATTGTAGAATCTTGAAGCCCTTGTTATGGTTGTCTCTTTAATACTACTGTTCTTCCCTTCTTTTTGTACGAAATACATTATAAATCTTTGCACCCTGTAGAGAACTTGAAAGAGGACTAATGTACATGGATGAGGCGAGTCATTTTTTTTTTCTTTCATTTGATTATTTCATTGTTGCTGCCGATAGCTGAAGCCATAGTTTATATCACTTGGCAGTTTTGAGATTATATTTATTATCTGTAACAGTTTTGCATGTCAGACAGCAAATGTGCTTCATTTTGCTACAAGCACCAGGACATATATTGATTTGAACTAACCAAAGTATGTATGGTAATTTTAATGTAGTGATGCATACAAAGAATTTGAGAAGGAAATCCAAGATGACTTGCAGGGTGTAGATGACCGTCTTGAAGAGGAAGAGGTGAGAATTTCCGATCATGGTTCTGTCAGCAGATATCCTTGTCCGCTATAAATTGAACTTTAACGTCATCCTGTATTATTGATTTTACAGATCGATGCTGCAAAGGTTAGGGCAGAGTTCGAGTCACTGGAACAGCAGTGAGTATTTAGGATTTGTGCTACTGAATTAGTTCTTTATCCAACAATTTCTTTATTTATCACTGATGTTTCTTCTTTCAAATCGTACGCCAGGGCATACAGAGAGAACGTGGAAATGATGAAAAGGCAATTCATGGAGGTAAAAGCTGCACAGGTTGCTAGAGGGAAGAAAAGCCCAGCATTCAAGGGTAAGGAGTCGAGCGATGAGTCCTCCAGTGATGACGACGATGAGAACTTTGCAGTTGACTGGAGAGCAAAACATTTCTAGAACAATGAATATATGTTGCTCAGTGGACGAGTCCAGAGGTATTCCTGGGGTGAAGGATATATTATTCCAGCCAGATAAGTCCCGATTACTTAATATGATTTTAGGCTTCGGTTCTCATCTTAATTCTCCAAGTGAGAGTACTCTTGTTAAATTGTCTTTGAGCAAACAGAAATTGTAAGTATTTCTTTTGCCTATGAACTGTAAAGGCAGCACGTTATATTTAGCTGAAAAGGTGTACGCTACATTGTTTTTTCGCCTTCTTCCAGCTTCTTGGTTTGCAAGCGTTGTCAGCTCCTCTTAATTTGTTCAGTGTTGAATGGTCCCTCTGCAATGTTTACGTATAAAATCTATCTTCATGCTCAATTCTTTTGAAACTGGGGCTGGAAGTGAGTTGTGATTGTTGCCTTAATGGAAAGACTATTAGAACTAATCGATGCAATTTTTATGAGGAGAGTAAATTAAGTGTCTCAAAAGTGACAATGACATGATTAAACACGGATCAATAGTCGGACCCATTGACAACTAATGTGTTGATTTTGCGGATTGCGCTCCTTAGGAACGTCTCCTCGGACGCACCTGATAAAAATTGGAACAACACAGAGAAGATTAGCATGGTCCCTGCCTCCTCCGCAAGGATGACATGCATAAATTGGGGAATATTCAAATTCCGAAAATTTCTATCTCCAGCCCCTAGAAAATTTCCCCAAGTTTGGGTCTAATTTGGAGAGGCGTTATCTTTACCGGTTGAAACCCTAGCTTCGGTAGGCACTCTTCATCGGCCGAGGCCCTAATTTGAATGAGGATTGTGACTATTGTACGCTTACGGCGCAAATTTAGTGTTTTTTCTTTCCCCTTCTTCTGAGAAACCTGTAACTGTGAAACTCTAGAGTGAACAATATTCAACCAATATCTACAGATTTTCACCATGGCTTGAATATTTGAGACAAATTACGAGATCTAGGCTTATGAGATTGATATAAATGTTGTTTTACGTTGTGGGACTGCTTTACATCGAATCTCTACATGCTCTATTTTCTCCTTGATGAAGAATCATTTCTCTGAATTGGGATTTTTCATGGCAATAATCAAATTAAGTTTTAGCTGATATGTGATATTATTGACAAGATTTCCTATGACTGCAGGCTGCATTATGTTATGATATTTTTGTACAGAGCAAAAACAACAAATATTTACCTCAAAGCTGCAGATATTACTTATAATTCAGCTTGACTTGCTAAATTTTGGGCCTCTCATGTTAATACTCAGTATTTTTTTTATATATTCAATAGTTTTTTAGACTCCCCTTGATGTAAACTATAAACCAATGCCATCATTTGTACATCTCCCCCTCTTCATTTAACTCTCTTTTTTATTTAAAAAAAACACTTGAGGCTGCATATAGTTTTACCTTATAATTGGTAGTTTCTTTGGTCCTGAAACTTGACAGGATGCAGTGCTTGCTCTTTTGGTAAAGGAAATTATAGCTGCTGCCCTGGTCTAGTGGTGGTTTTTCCTATGTAAGTATGATTTTCTGCACATATGATGTCACAAATTACCATTATTTCACTCAGAATCATGATGTCGTTAGAATACTCTTGCAGAGCTTTATCATGTGTATAATAGGATCCTCTTTCTGATGTAAAATGTATTTTACAGAATAGAATGTATGCTCACTTGCCGAGCAGCTGAGAAAAGTTAGCATCCAATCCCTTACCCTGACTTCACACATTTTTCACCTTTAAAATCAGTTAAGGAATCGTTTTTAAATTTTAAACCATTCAGCAGTTCTAAAAAAAAATGGATGATATGTAATTATGTATGTCTCAAACTTTATACGTTGCTCACTGAGTACATGTGCACAAATAATTAACAAAATATCCTGTAGCATTTAAAATGATAAAAACAAATTTTATATCTAACTGTACTTCTAACATTAAATAAAATAGTGCAAAAATAAGTACATAAAAATGATATTAAAACTCTTAAATTCCCTCCCACTATACCAAAACTCCGAATAAGTAGGCTAAGTAGCAATCAGTGGGGTTCAAAGTCATAACTTTGAAAGCTTGCACCAAAGAGAGAAATTTCTCTCCTCTCGGTGTTTTTATTTATTTATTATTATTATTATTTAGTTTTTTGCTATGACTTTAGTCTGCAGGAGGAAACTTTTTGCTCTGTCAAATTAGGCGAGTTTTTGCTTGTGACGGAGTAGATTTTAAGCCAAGAATTAGTTGAACATGCTCAAAGGATTTTGTCTTATTCATTTCGGAAAAAAAGAAGAAGAAGGTTTTAGGCTTTAACTGTCTTGCATTCTGAACTTTAGTGCTCCTATGGGCTTGTAAATCTATAATCTAATCGAATATGAAAGAAGGAACGTATGTAGGACGTTGAAGTTTGAATTGAGGGTTCTCCTTGTGAGAGTTGTTCTTGATTCAGTGTTACAGCTACATGCATGAGCATGATGCCTGTTGTTGTTTTTCACTCTCTTCCAGGTTCCTACTTCTTTTAGTACGTAGATTTTCATGTCTATGCGTATATTCCTTGGTATTTGAATGGGAATTGTGAAGACTCTAAAGGAGTATGACGAGGGAACTGGATCACCCATCAGGCCACCCTTCATCAAACAGGCTCTTCAGCATCTATTTTCACCGCCCATCTTCTATTCAAGCTCATGAAATAATGCGAATCGATGCTCGACCTTCTCTTCCCTAAAACGAGCCTTCGACCTCTCACAATGACAAAGAAGAGGAAGTAGAAAGGCAAAAATAGTAACGCAAATCCGTCAAAGGTGAGATTAAATACTTCGGAAGTTTTATACATGAAGGGCAAAGTCTCAGCTTTGAGTGTTTTGAAGGAGATCAGAAGTAGAAAACAACGGTTAGTGTTTTCTCTTTGCCTCCGTTGCAGACAAATAAAGGTGAGGAGAGAATTTGGGATGAAGTCCCTGTTGTACAACAACTTGCGTAGTGAGTTATATTTGCTTCACAATTGTTATCAAAGTCTTGTGTAATTGATTGCGACTAAGTTGCTGATATTAAAGAAAACTATAAACCAATGTCATCATTTGAACATCTCCCCCTCTTCATTTAACTCTCTTTTTTATTAAAAAAAAACAGTTGAGGCTGCATATAGTTACCTTATAATTGAAAAGAGAGTATGCAAAAATGTAATAGGTCCAGTGAGTATCCAAGCACCGTATGCAAAATCTTCAGATAGAGTCCAACTAATAAAACAAACTTTTACTGTGCACAGCTCCCTAATAATCTCTCTTATTTAAAGCGTTGAACACAAAACTCCAGTGAAGTTCTGCTTGGGAAAATGTAATAGGTGTTCTCCAAGTGAAGATTCCAAATATTGGGATCCTCTACTAATGCATAGTGTTCCTAATATCTCCTAATAAAGAAATCTTAGCCTTCGATTTATCAATCAAAGACCAAAATCTCATCCTTATCTTCCCCATACCTTTGTTCATGGGGAGATCTTGGCCTTTGATTGATAAAAGGTCAAGATCTCATTAGGAGATATTAGGAACCTCCTCATTAGTAGAGGATCTCAATCCAGATTCCAACTGTATTTGAATATGCAAATTGTGTAAAACACGAGCGAGATAACACTTTCATTTAGTGACACCTATCAGTAGGGGGTTGGATTATGTAATAAAAGGTAAATTACACTAGGCCCACAAAAACGTTCAGCAACTTTCAGCGTTTTGCTGTAAATCCCCAGTAACTTTCAAAATTATATTAATTCCCTCATAAACTTAATGGAATTGCAAAACCCCCAAATAAGTATCCTTGTTTTGCAGAAAACCCCCATAAATTAGAGCTAAAGAATAACATAAAAAGACATTTTGAAAGCTGTTGGGGGTTTCTGCAAAACTTTTTGGGGGTTTAATGAGATTTTGAAAGCTATTGGTGGCAAACCGAAAAATTCTAAAAAAATTCTTGAGGGTTTAGTGTAATTTAACTTATAATAAACATTTGATGATGGTGTCAAGTAGATGAATGGCTGCAAAAAGCTAACTAGGAAAATAGTGTGATGCTATTTTATGGTAAAGTGATGAAAAATAAGAGGGGACCATATACATAACAAGTGCTCATAGTGTATCTATTCATATTTTTGCAACCATTTATTCATCTCAGTCCTCATTTAGTTAGTGTTTTTGCATCCAGCACGTCCTAAATTTCGTGAGACGCTATAAACTTTGCTCAAGCGGCAATTCTGACTCTATCAATTAGCTTGTGGTCTCGTTCACAGGAGCATGGATTGATGATTCGGCATGAGCAAGACATCTATTTGGTGCTCTGCAATCTATTATTTGTGAACATACTCAAGGTGTAACAAATATGGAGATGGATTATCAAAGTTTAACAAAAATAAATTAAGATGGTGTAACAGATAGATGTATGAGCTTACATCATTCTCAATCTATGCCCATATTTATCGCCTTCATGTCATAACACAGAAGCTTTCCAAAATGCCGGGAAGGAAAAAAAGGAGATGGAGGAGCTAAATAAATAACGGCTTTCGCGCATTCCCTCTTCTGCTTCTCAACTTCAGCTCTCTCTGACTCTCTCTTTGATGTCGTTGATGTTTGAATGATGAACTTTGCTGACAGATTTTGGGATGAATTTTGCTGAGAGGTTTGGTGCATCTTTCCCTTTTATCTCCTCTATTTTTAAACTATTTGCTTTCACAACAATAATCAGGCGAAGCTTATGTTAAAATTTAGGCGTGATTGAAACAGTATAAGAGCCCACCGATCCGACTACGACTATCTAAACAACTTTAGAATAGCAGGCAGGATTATGCAAAACTTGAACCAGCGCTAAACTTTCTGCATCGGGCGCTAACGATGTAGGCACATGAGGCTAAATCCAGGTAAATTTTCTCAACAGCAGCCTACACCTGAATCTAGCGCTGACGACCCACCCTCAACCCTTTCTACTATTGCACTCAGCGTTATCAATAGAGACAGGCAAGGGACAAGCACAACAGGCACGTATGAAACTGAAGATCACCAAAGCTTTTCAAAGCAAACAGAAAACAATTTTCAACCACTCAGTTCCATTTTCCATTTTATTCCTGTCACCATTTCCAAACGTCCATCATCTCCTATGGAGATGGGGATGTAACAAACTGCCTAGGAACCCTAAAGATGTCCTTCCCGGCAAATGGAGAGGTCCACTCTCGAGATCCTGCAGCCTGTGCAGGATGCTCGACAGCAGCAGCAAATTGCGATGGTGCGTATGAAGCATGCCATGAATTATCATACAACCGTTCGCCCTTTATTGACGATGACCATGATGATGATGATGTCAACTCTGTCGAATCCAAGCTCCAATCTATGCTTGTATAGTCACACTGAGGTATCGACCCACGAGTACTCCAGTCAACAGGCGATGATGCGCCAGAAGACCCAGAAGATCCCCATCCGGTGAACAGCCCCAGCGATGAAGAAGGCATAGACAGTGACGATGAGGATAATGACCTAATAGTAGTTGTGTATGAAGTCGATGATATGGGATAAAACTGCTGAGGATTACTAGACCCAGCCAAGGCCAAGTTCCTCAGCTGCTGCCCAAAATCCCCATTGGCAAACTTGATCATATTGGGATACCCTCCAGTTGATGCTGGAACTGAAGCACTGAGACCGACATTCACTGGGAGGAGATTTTGCCTTTTGTCATTTGACTGTGGTCGCTGCATCATGAAGATCGGTTCTCTCAATGTTCCTTGAAGTAAGTTTGGCTTGATTTCATTGCCAGCGGAAGAGATATAAGGGGTTTCTGCCTTTGCTTGTGCTGCTGCAACCTGCAATGAATATTTCTTTTCAAGAGGAGGAACTACAGCTTGTGATTTCGTCCAATCTTGCTTAGATGGTACTTTTCTCAAGGCGGTATGCTGCAAAATTTTGCTTGCTGATTCCATTTGAGCTGCTCCTGCTATCGTTGACTTCGTGTAATTTAAATCCCTTTCATCCCTTCTCTGTAACAGGACATTTGCTGGAGAGATTCCTTTCACTTGTGCTCTTGTAGCAGAGTTTGGGCTAGAGGTTGGTAACCTACTACTATATACGGCTGATTCAGAATTTGTAGGAGCAGCTGCAGTGTCTTGCTTCTGTGCCTTCATAGTCTCTTCTGCCTTCTCCAAATCACCCTCACAGGCAACGATAGCCCTTTCAACTTCTTGCTTTGTGCACTTGAACTTCGACTCCAACTCAGCAATTTTCGCTAGCTCATCTGCTATGTCAAGCTTGGGACTAGCTCCGTCAAGATTTGATGCAGCTTGTCGTTTGCTTTCATCGCCCCCTTCAAGAAGCCACAATGCTGAGTCATCAACACGGCCTTCATTTTGAATGAGAGCCATGGTTGCCTGCTCGGATGTGAAGCCCATAGCCACAAGCTTCTGAGCCAGAGATTCAAGTTTTCGTGATGTTAGGTAGCTACAGCAGCGCTCATGAAGCTCCTGGGCTCGCCTTTCCTTCTGTCGCTGGTGCTTTTTCTCGTTCTTCAGTCTTATCTTTTCTCGCTTGTCAATATCAGAGCCAGGAACCGACTGAGATGTATTGCTGACTGTATTCTTCTCCTTTTGTTGGTCTTCTGATTCACCGGAACAGCTATCATTATTCGACAGAGAATCATATTCAGCTGTTGTAACAAGTGAACTACCAGAATGCTCATCTGTTTCATCTATGGTTCGAAATCGACCATTGCTTTGTGTTGTAGGCGTAGCAGTCGTTGGAAGAGTCTCAAGGGCATGAAATGTACCCGAGATTGGATTGTATCCACTTACTGCTGTAACTCCATTCCCACCATTTACAGATGCAACAGAGGGTTTTGAACATTTTGGCTGCTCCTTGACTGCCCTTGCAGCTGTCTTATCTTTGGACTTGGATTTTGATGCTGGAGACATCTCACAAAAACTGAAAGTGACATGAATATCTCAGACATACATGATTAATTTCTAAAAATAATACGAAAGGAAGACGCAGCATATAGCAGGTCGCTGTTAATTTCAGGCTGGGTAACCAATAAAAATTGTTGCAGCTTACATGAGTGCTGCTAAACAAGGAAACTTTTTCAGCAATTCAAGCAGAAGGAAATGAATGACAAAAATACTCAAAATTACAAACATCAAATCATTTATCAATTATAGTCAAGTAGCTTGCACACAAAATGCTTGTGTGCCTGGGAAAAGTGAGGAAGAGACTATTGACACTACAGAATCATAGGAGTCCTGATTGGAAGGTAAAAAGGAAAATTAAAAGGCTTCTAACTAATAGGCATGCCTTTAGATTTTGAATAAATAAACTGTAACTGCAAACAATTGTCAGGATGGTGCAATCTCTCAAAGCATATTCAAGCAGAAGGAAATGAATGACAAAAATACTCAAAATTACAAACATCAAATCGTTTATCAATTATAGTCAAGTAGCTTGCATACAAAATGCTTGTGTGCATGGGAAAAGTGAGGAAGAGAATATTCATGCTACAGAATCATAGGAGTCCTGATTGGATTGTGAAAAAGAAAATTAAAAGTCTTCTAACTAACAGGCATGCCTTTAGATTTTGAATAAATAAACTGTAACTGCAAACAAGTGTCAGGATGGTGCAATCTCTCAAAGCATATACAAGAAAAGTATCTCCAGAAACAAGTTATTTTATACATTAACCCTCCAGGCGAACTCAAACTAAACAAATAAAAAATGTGAATCAAGAGCAATTAATAAACAAATGCCAGATGCATCAAAATATGAAATCATCAGAAAACACTACTTGAAACATATTAACATTGTAAAGAGAGGCGTGCAGCAAGTGGTTAGGGATCATATAATTGTAAAGTAAAATCACGCTTCAATTACACCATGGTTCCATATTTCATTTTATCTCTTCCTTTTCCCCAAACCATTCCGAAGTTTGAGACAATTTTGGGAGCCTCTTGAAAGTAGTAAGGAATGCTCGTGCTTGCACCAGCTTTACAGTATAACCTCCTACCCAAGTGCCAACTTTCCTTAGAGTACTGATTCAATTTCAAAAGGTAATAAGATGGTTATCAGGCAACCATTATATTGCTTCAATCTGCCTGCAGAATGTCCTTAATAACAATACATCCCCATAGTCTTGGGATGGCTCCAGCAGATGATGATTTGAATAATGTCTTTTGGCATGGTGCACTAACATTTTCATTACTAGTAAAGCTCAAGGTAACCTGAATAAGTCCAACTACTTCACTATAGATTCTAAAAAAACATGCATTTCTCCTAAGGAAGGAAAAGGTAAATGCTCGATACAGAAAAACTTTAGAATGGCTGTGGATATACTTCACCAATATTCATGTAAGCTAGTGTTTCCTACTGTTTCTGACATAAATTAACTTGATCACTTCCCTTTCTAGAAATCCTAGCAGGAGGTACATAAATTTCTCAAAACGTATTTTACACAAGATTTCCTATCAAATATCTAAGTACAATATACAGGGTCTCCTATCACGTCTGATTTCAACATGATAATTATCTTGAATTGT